TTTTGCGTTTTGTCAGGTTGTGTCAGGTTGTGTCAGGTTGTGTCAGGTTCCGTTGCGTGCACTGTGTTGTATTGCCCTGTGCTACACTGCCGCATATTGTGCGCGTTTTTTCTTTTTCTCTTTTTCCGCACTGCGAAGTAGACGCAGGGGATGCCTCCCAAATTACATTTCTCAATTAGCATTTTATAAAATATTATCTCAAGTGGTCCTCAGATTTCTTCCTTTTTCTCTAGCTGCTGTAACGGCATACCAGACACAAGAATTTTTTTTTCCCCCTTCAAAATGGACAGAAAAGTATGAACAGGCAAGGTGAAAAATGAAAAAAAAAAAAAAAAGAGGCGACAAAGCAATGGCAGCAGCAGCAGAAGCCGGGGGAGGAAAACACACTATCGTGGAATAATGGAGTCCCCAAGGGGAGCAAACGGAGGGATGTACCAAAAGGTGAAAGAAAGGGAACGGGACGGGGGCTACAGAAGGGGAATACGAGGAAGAGAAAAGCTTAGCCCAATGTGCTCATGGTTTTTTTCCTTTCTGCTGGTGTACATGTTGAGTAGTTGGGTTTAGGGTTACAAGTAGTTTCATGGACATCGACCGCTGACACAGCACAAGAGTCGCGCAGGCAAGATGTTCGGAAAAATGAAACAAGAAAAAACAGAAAAAAGAACAGAAAAAAAAACAAAGGAGAAGGTGAAGGGATGGCAAAGCTACAGCGAAAGAAATAAGAAGAAGGAAAAACTAAAAAAAGATAAAATTACTTTGTTCTTCGCGAATGTAGTCGAATTGTACAGCCAAAAATGCACATCGGGAGCACGGCGTGGCAGAGGGGGGTAAGGAAAAAACCAACCCTATCATTTCCGTCACGGCTCCCTCAAATGACGGGAACAGAAGAAAAAAAAAAACTGTATATTATGGTACGCTGTGCTATGCTACATTGCGCTATCCTTCTTGCCCCCGGCAACCCTGCAATTGGTTACCCGCAAGCACGAGCATACAATCATTATCGTGTGCCTCGTTCCCGTAGGACTAGTGTAAAATCGGCCAATCTGCGCAGACCATATTTTCTCAAATCATGGAAAAATGAAACATCCTTTTTTGGCACAGATGAACTGAACGGGTTGGAAATTAACAGCCACGCGTTCTGCTCACATTTGCAGTTTGAGGCTAGTCATTTGGGCCCCCTTTTGGAAGTTTTGTTTTTGTTTTTTTTTTTTTTTTGTCGCCTCCAAGTAGTTTTCCGTGCTACTTCGGGGGAATCACTTTGCGTCGTATCGCTCTCTTTGCGTGAGGGACGCCATTTGATTTTCCCTACCGTTTTCTCTGTTGCGTAGTGGACTCTTCACTTCGTTTCGTTCTTCCAGCGCCTGCTGGTCAGGGCAGTAGGCCATGTTACATGTGACACATTTATAATATATGTGTGTTCTCTTCCCCTAGCGGACTTGCGTAAAAAGGGGAAAATCACCAAAGCACGGCGCCTTTCAAACGTGGAACCCGCGCAAGTGTGTCCATCCCCCGCGCGGTACACATGTGCAGGACTAACCTGGACATATAGGTCAGCCACCTACCGTCTGGCGGGACAAGCGCAGAAGATACACCCTTTCACTGATCGAGACGCATCTCGGACATCTGCCGCCCGAACGGGCCATACGGCAAACCCACGACATGCGCGACGTGACCAGGCAACCCCAGCTAGCCATGAAACGATAAAGGGAAAATGCAAATTATTCGCGTCCTCCTGTTTAGCCTCCTCATAGCAGCGTCGTCGCCCACGAGCAGCAGCAAGAGCCCCCATAGCAACCCCCAGAAGGACAAGCCAAAAGGAAAAAACGGTAATGGCAGGGAGGTGACCACCCCCGCGGAGGAAACCAACCATAGTAGTGACATCCAGAGAGGTGAAAACGAAGAAGAAGGAGGAGAAAAATTAAAAAGAGTGACCCATGGAGGAGACGAAGAAGGGGAAGACTCGTTAGGCCAATCGGACGAGTTAGACGATGATACAAAGGAGCCCCCCCGCGGAGGGACTGACAAAGGCGGGGACCGAATTAGCGGCGGCAACAGCATCGACGGGAGCAGCATCGGCGGCAGCAGCGGAAGCAGTAACGATGAACGTCGAAGCGAAAACAACAGGGAGGGCACTTCCAATGGACGAAGCGTCTTCGGAACCTTGCTCAGTTTTATAAACGGAGGTAACTTTGGTGACGACATGAACGTAAAGCAGGTGCCCTTCCATCCGCAAGAAGGCAACTTTAAGGATGAAACATCCCATGAGGAGAAACTAACTAGCCAATTTTTGAACACGCTGAAGAACAGCGAAATGAATCACACAGTTGGGGATAACATACCCATTAGAAGGAAGGACAAAGAGAAGCAGTGTATCTACAGTTATGCACTATTTGGTCAAGGGGCGAAGAGGAAAACGATACTGGATAGGTCGTTGGAGGAGGAAGACAACTTTGAGGAGAGTGCCGCCGTGGAAGGAGAAAACCCTCCATTTGGAGATCGTCATCAGGGGGAGGACCCACAAGAAGGGATAGAGGCGGAAAAGGTTGATAAAGGCGACCAGTTGGGAGATGACACTGGAGATCACCCTATGGAGGAGGTCGAAGGTGAGGGCACGCGCGATTTTTTGAACTTTGAGAAGGAATTCATGAAAAGGGAAGAGCAGGAGGAAGGAGGAGGAGCAACAGGAGCAACAGCAGGAGCAGCAGGAGGGGGAGAAGCAGGACGAGAGGCGACGGAGCAGGTTGGGGAGAGGGAAGCCAACGTGTCAAGTCACAACCGAAGCGGTGCGAAGGGAAAGGCGGACGATGGCACCGCGGGGAGGAGGGAAGGAAAGAAAAAGGACCCAAACGATAAGGAGCAGAAAGGGAAGGAGAGGAACTGGCCAGCCCAGGCCGGCGAAGTTCACCGGGCTCATGTGGACACCCATGCTGATGACACAACTGATGATGTTTACCCGCTGGGGAGCGCCCCCCCGGGGGAGACGGACGAGCAGGACGCATTGCTCATCAACAAGCCGGAAGCAATAAAGTACTTCTTCGAGGTGCTGACGGAAGTATGCGCGATTATCAGGTTGGGGGTGATTCACCGCTTCACCCACGTTGTGATTCCCATAAAGAATATCATCGTGTCGAAGACGCTGCGTCAAATTGAAGTGGTCCTAATGACCATGTTATCTGTGCACAGACTGGCTAGCCACAAATACAGGGACACGTACGGACTCAGCATCATCGCACTCTTGGTGTACCTAATGATATACCTCATAAAAAGGTACATATACGGGGGGGGAAAAAAAAGGAGAGAAGAGCATTCCTCGAGTAAGGCAGACGATGTGTATGTAGTGAATCTGTTAAGAAGAATCTTATCCTTGGTGGAGACAAGAAAGACAATGAGCAACTCGGAAGAAGGGTTTCTTCACGATGTCCTCTACAACACGGAGACCTTACTAGCCACCACCAACATCACGAACAAGGAAAACAAACAGATCTACACAGACATCATAGCCAGTATTAATAACCTTGGAATATTTACGTACGTTTCAACTCAGGCTTTAAAAAGCATAAACCAGAAATCAGATTTGTTGCTAAGTGGGTTCAGTGGAGGGAGTGCTGTCAGAGTGGGAGAGCAGGAGGGCATACTGGACATGGACCCTGATATGGACCTCGATATGAATGGCTTGCATGGAATGGCGCTGGATGGTCTGGCGCAAGATGGTATTCCGATGGATAGTATTCCCTTTGATGGTACTGCGTTGGATGGTAGCGCGTTCAGTGGAAGTGCAATGGGGCTTAGTTTAGGAGGGGGCATGGGGGCTTCCTTGCGGAAAAGGGGCTTTCCCAGCGGTATGGAGACGGGCCTACCCAACGGTATGGAGACAGGCCTACCAAACAGTATAGGAGCCTCCTTACGAAGTGGCATGGGGGCTGCGCTCCCTCCCGGAGCAGGAGGGCACATGGTAGACGATGTCTACGACGTGAACAATATGCAAAACAATTTTGGCGACGACCCCTTGTATGGGGACAATAGCGTGAGGAACAAGATGCGCTACAGTCTGTTGCAGCAACAGAATGATAAGTTCGAGGAGGGAGACCTTCTCGCCTACAAGAAGGGCACCGACAACTACGACTTGGTTGGCCACGGGCTTGAGGCAAACGGTGGAGGTAACTTCCGATACGGGGGGGTGGATGCGATGAACAGGGCGGATGCGATGAACAGGGCGGATGCGATGACCAGGGCGGATGCGATGACCAGGGCGGATGCGATGAACGCGATGGACGCAGCGAACGCAATGGACGCCGCCAGTACAGCCAACCTCGTCAGCGCGGCCCATTTCTCCCACTTCGCCCCGACCCAGGAGTACCCAAAAGAGTACCCAAAACAGGGGGAGGATTTTCCTAACGAGAACTTCAACCGCAGAAGCAGCTTTTCCCATGTGTCCAAACCTTCCAATCAGATGAACGGAGACGAGGTGACTAAGGAGAATGGTGGGAAGACCAGTCAGGGCAGACCCCGAGGAGTGGATCCTCCCGCTCCTCCCCCTGCGATGCGGTATATGTCGAGCGAGCACCTCCAGGACGGGCTGAACGGCGCGCATAATGGGGCCACGCAGAGTGCGCTGCAGAGTGGGCCTCAAACTGGGCTGCCAACTGGGCTGCCAACAGGGCAGCATAGCACAGCACAAGTTGCCCCACATAATATCCCCCCGCCGGTCCAACCGCCCCCCTCGATGCCCCCTCCACCGATTTTCCCCTTCGTCCACGACCCAAATAACGGCCACATGCACCCCAAAGGCGAAGTGCATACAAAGAGCTACACCGGTCAGCTCGGCCCCCCAAAGAAAACCTCTGCCGGGTTGAACACGGGCCCTCCAGAAAAGGACGCCAACTCAGGGGACAGCGCCTTCCCCGTGCATGGAAGCCTAAGCATGATGAGCAGCATCCCCCCGGAGGATACCCTCTCCAGTGTGGTGAGTATTGCCAGGATGCACTGAAGCAGTGAGGCAGTGTAGCAATGGGGCGCCTTCTTCTCCACTTCTTGCAATTTTTCGAGTTCATCTTTTCCCCCTCTCACCTGCAGAAAAAGGACGACTTGATGACCCACGTGCCGGGCCCGCAGGCGGCCTTCTCTGATGACCCCCCAAGTGGGGCGGCCGCCCCATCAAAGAAGGACTCCCTCCAGAATTACGCGCCACGTAAGGATTGTGACCCGGATTGGAAAGAAAAAGAAGCTTCTTCCGGGGAGAAGCGCACTTCTTGTTCGCTATCTTTGCCATCTTTGCGATCCTCACCCTCTTCATCGTCCCTGTCGCCCCCCCCGTGCAGCCCCCGTCTCGTACATGCCACCAGCCCACCAAGTACTGGAAAGCGCGTCCAACCGGAATCAGAAGTACCTTACACAGAGGAAGTAAGTGTCGGAAATGTAGAGCAGCTTTACAGTGCACCTATGAGATGCACACATGGATAACATGTGTTTTTTTTTATTTTCCCCTCTTAGGGAGAGGCAAAAAATCGTTGCAACGAAGTCTCCCTTTAATTGAGAAGTGTCCCTGCCCGTCAACAAAAAGGATCCTTTTTTTTTTCCTTTTTTTTTTCTTCTCTTCACTCTGGGAAATACTCCGTTAACGTAAAAACGTATGTGCTGCCCACATCGTGTGTATCGACTTTTGAAGCTATTACGACGGGGTGTGGACATGAGTCGTAAGCACTTCAACGTGTAGTGACTGAGTAGAAGACTTCCTCTCCTGCCTGTACCTGTGTATGTCCCCCTATACTGGCTAGCATTTTTTTTCTTTGATTTGCGGCCCCGTAAAATTCTCTTTTTTTTTTTCTTTTTTTTTTTTTTTTTTTCGTTGCTGAACCGATGCGTAACTGTTTTTTTTTCTTCTTTAATTTGGCAAAAGGAATCTTTTTGGTAAACTGTGGATACTCCTGAGAGAGTTCTTCCTTTGTCGCTTCGCCGAGTGGGCGTTCGACCGCCACACCGCAGGGCCCAAAATGGGCCGATCGGGTGGCCCACAATACACCCTGCCAAACATAAGGCAGCGAAAAAAAAAATGTTGCTATCACGGGCCAAGCGATGTTGCAGGTATGTGAGGACGATCGCCAAATGCTCAAAGCGCAGTGGCAACCCCGGTAGCAACCCCCTCTTTGCTTCGTACTGTAATGGTCTCCATAGCGAAGCCACGAGGGATGGGAAGAGGACAAGACCTTACTTCGACTATGACCAGGACAGCAAGTTACTAGGGAGGCTGCAGAAGGGCCAACTGGACGTGGACGACTGGGGCCACGTGGATGACCACAGGGACGCTCTGAAGATTAAGAAGGTGCTCAGAGAGGGAGGCGGCTGTAGAGGGACGGGGCAGTGTGCCCTGTGGTGGAGTATGCCCCTCTGTTGTAGTGTTCCTCTGTGTAGGCGCGCCCACCACTTCTCTCCCCTTCCAACCCCATCCCGCAGAAGTACCTCAAACTGCTCCGACTGTACCACCCAGACACATACGTAAGTGAGAAGAACGAACAGAGGAAGAAGCGGAAGGAAGAAATCTTTTTGCAGATCTATCGGCAATACAAGAGCTTCACTCAGCACTATGATCACCTGTACAAGTCAGATCTGACTGATGAATCTGTGTGCGAAACTGAAGAAGAGAGAGGTTAAAGGAGGGGAATTCCGCGGGGGGAGGTTTCCTCTCTGGGCATGTTTGGACACCTCACCTTTTTTCTGGTGCCTTCTTTTGTATATCATTCCATACGTTGAGAAGTCTTCACACTTGCTTCCTTTTTTTTTTTTTTTTTTTTTTTCTCATCCGTTCATGCGTATTGATCACCACATCTTCCTCTCCTTCTTCTTCCTTCTTCTCCCCCCCTTAACCTTCGAAGATGAAAGACTCGAGCGGTACAGACGCTACTCTGAGGGGAAGAGAAATGACGTGTCACATTTCCACAAGAACGTGGAAATATACATCCTAGTTATGATTTTAGTGACCTTTGGAGGGGTCCTCCTGCTCTGTGTCTTTCTACCCTTTGATGTTAACATCGGCAGGGAAGAGTGAGTCAGAAGTCGACCGCATGTAGAGCCCAAGTGGGACAACTTCCCCCACGCCGCGAATTCTTCCTCTCGCTTGCCCATTCTGTTCACTTCCCCTAACACGCCACCCCCACCCCTTCCCTCAGACTATGCGACGGCGCGGACAGCGGAGAAAGCGCTCAGGTCGTCCCCTGCTTTTACAACCCCGTCATGAAGCGATACGAGTATCTGTCTGGAGGATATGTCCCCCCGCACCCGCACCAGTTGTACTACGTAAGGATGGGGGGAGCGATTCCCTTTGATCGTTACACAGGAGAGAGAGACTTATTTTTGAGAGGATTCCCCTGGTGGGATAAAGCCCCCCCGGAGGAATCAGAAGAAAAAAAAAAAAAAAGAAAAAAAACACTCATGAGAGAGGTTTATGATGTATTTAAAAAATAACGGAGCGCCATCTGGAAGCAGCCCCCCCAGTGCACTTCACCTCTTTTTTTTTTTTTCCATTCCTCTGTTGTGTCCCCTCTGCAGTTTTACAAAAATAACTTCCCAGACCTGTTCGTGGACGATGACCTCCTGAAGCTAAGTCGCTTCGAAGTGGTCCAGGTATAGTACAGGGGAGAGCGCCACGATGGGAAGAAAGTGCGTGCCCACGGGCTAGCCACATCCTGCCTCCCTACCGCGCCCATCCTATTACGACCACGTCGGCCATGTCGCCCACATCACACCCCCATCAAGTGAACAAATTTTAATTCCGCCTTATTGCCATTAACTCGCAGTTGCCAAAAAATCGAGCAAAGAAATGCAGACTTGTGTACGACATAAAGACAAACGAACTCATTTTTTTAAAAAAAACAAAACAAGATGAAAGAGGAGAAAAAAAAAAGCAAGTGCTGTCGAAACTTACAAAATAAAAAAAAAAAAAACGTGGATTGCTGATTGGTATGCACGGATGTATCAAATGGGAATGGAAAAAAAAAAAACAGTTTAAGAGAGCTTTAAACGATCAAATTGTATACTTACGCTGTGCCTCTTGTGGAAATATTTTCCTAATGCGATATGAAGGCCCAAGGTAGAAAGAAAAAGGTGGTAATCAAACGGTAGAATTGCCATCATTGGGGGGACCCATGCCCGCCCCCTTACGTGAAGGAGCTGACACGTGTGTGTCTATCACTCAGAGATATACCTCACCTGCACGTTTGGTACGATTCATTTGTGCGTTCCCTCCGTGCGACATATGTAGTGGTTTAATTGTACATGCCTTTGTTCCTGTGTGCATCATCACATTGCGGAGGTGAATCACTCTGCGTTTTTCGTCGGCGCGGCCTCCTCATTAACATTCTCACTCGCAGCCTCGTTCGCATTTCCATCCGTGTCGTTGTTCACCTCCTCCGTGACAGCCGAATCTGCATTGTCCTCAGGCGTCGCTACATCATCTACATTGGAGTTCCCTCCAGCAGAGGGCTCCGCAACATTGCTCGCTCCAGCGTCGTCTGGATTCTCTTCAGTTAAAGTGTTAGCATTATCTGCCACGTCGTTTGACGTCGTCTCTTCTACGTTTGTGTCTTGCGTTGCGTCGTTCACGTCTTTCGCGTGGTCCGCGTCGTTCGTCTGGTCCGCTTCGTTCGTATCATTCGCATCGGCGTGGTCTCCTTCATTCGTGGCGACCGCATTGTTGTTATCACCATTTGGGTTCGATCCAGCTACTGCATTTGCAATTTCGGGTTCTAACTGATCACCTGCATTTGCTTCTCCTTCTCCAGCCTTAGCATTCATCTTCTCTTCCACGCGGGCTCTCTTATTCGTTTGAACGTCACCTCCAATGGCATTTAATTGCTCCTCTACTTCTGTGCTCACCGCATCCTTCGCATTTTCGTCCTTCACCACCAGGTCTGGAATCTTCGCTTGGTGCTTCTCTCCGACGTTGATTTTGCCGTCAACTTTGGACATGTACTTTCGTTTAGCCATGGTGTGGGTGTAGGGGTGTCAGCAGATGGGTTGCCGTTAGAAAGCGTTTCGATAGAGTCCGTTTCGATAGAGTCCGTTTCGATTGAGAGGTGGGAATGAAATACGTTGGATGCGTCTTCGCGCTGAGAAAAGGAATCGCAACAAAGGATGGGTCAGTGAAGAACGTGCTCAGGGGTCAGCTAGAACAGGGGGACGGACAGCCTCTGGGAAGTCACTTGCGTTTATGTACCCTGAGTGATTCTTCTAATTTGAAGGGATGAACGATTGGGCGGCTGGATGGTTGCTCTATGGGGCGGTTTCTCTGTCGCTTTGTTATTCTCCCGCTTTGTTGCTCTGTCGGCAGGTTACTCTTTCGGGTTGAACGCGGGGGGAAAGTCTCGCTCAGGTTCGGAATGAAAAAATGAAATGATTTAAAAAAATTAAAAGATTTAAAAAAATTAAAATATTAAAAAACGGAAATGGTAACGTTGATCGCGCAAGTGGTCTCTTTAAATGGTCTCTTGAAATGGTATTTTTAAAAAATGGTATGTTAAATTGTACGTCAAAATGGTATTTTTAAAAAATTGTATTTCGAGATGGTCGCCAAATTTTTGTCCGCTCGAGTGACCTCTTAAATTTTAATTTGATTAAATTTTGAAAAAATTAAAAAGCGAGCTGTGCCATTCCAAGCGGAGACGGGGAGCAGAGCGACCAGGTTTTATCATCAACTGACTGACTAACCGACCGACGGAGCGACCGACCAACCCACCGATTTGCATTTTCTTTTCTCAAATGCAGTCCTGTTCGTTCGCCACTCGCGCGCACGACTTTGCGCTTTTAGCTGATTTCTCATGCCACGTTCTCGTTATTTTGCCTTAGCGGCTGCATCATTTTTTTTGTTGCCACTTTGCTGCCTTTCAGCTGCCCCCCTTTAGGAGGCTACGGTGCCGTTGCATGTTGCGCCCGCCGGGACTGCATGCAGAAGGAGAACAAAACGACGCCAAAACGTAGCCAAAAGTAGCAAAAACGTAGCCCCAAAACGTAGCAAAAACGTAGCCAAAACGTAGCCAAAAGGAATGCCGAAACCAGGCCAAAACATGCCATTCGTTCGTCCATACGTTAACGAAGAGGCGCGCCGCTCCTACTCAAGGAGCACAGTTGCCTAGCGCGCGCTGAAGCAAACATATGTAGAGAAAATGTATGTTGGCACGAAATTGTTACTACTCATCCATGCAGCACAGGGGCCAAGACCCCCCGCGAAAAAAAAAAAAAAAGAAATATCCCCATTGGAGTTCACCTCGAAAAGGGCTCTTCAAGGCGGCTTCACTAAATGACGACGCCCCGTAAAAGGACTCCCCGGTCGAAGGACAACATAGTTCTCTTTTGAAGGCAGACGGGGGAACAAAAAAAGAAAAAAAGAAGCATAAAGAAAAAGGCAAAAATGCAAAAAAACAAAACAACAAAAAAATGAAAAAAGAAAAAAGAAGAAAAAAAAAAATTCAATGGCCACTGCAAAGTTATGCAAAATTTGGGGTCAATTTATACCGCAGTGTTTGGCCTTTTTTTTTTTTTTTGTTACTAAGCCGGGTCACGATCGAGATTGCCCACTGATATGCCTATGCAATATGAGATGAGACAGCGACATGCCTCTGCCCCGCACTTTTCGCACCCGAGAGGCGATTGGCGTATTTGCTCTAAACGTCTCAGGCTCAGCAATTCCTTTCCCCCTACCCATAAAACGGTTGAAACACCCGATTTAGGGATCGGTGTACCACCTGTGAAGTAGCCTCAAATATATAATTGCTATTTTGTGCCAGATGGAGTGGCCCCACAAGGGTTTCTTCTCCCCCACGGGTACTTCCAATTCCACTTCCAATTCTACTTCCACTCTCTGCATACAATCTTCTCCTACGAGGTGGGCTCAAATGTGTATAAGTGCATATGATGTTATATATATCTGTTGGTCTCTCTCTAACCCCCCCCTCTAATGAGGGGCAACAAAGAATGGCAATAAAGAATCACAATAAAGTCTGACCACTCAAACCAAATGACAAAGGAGAACAACTTCCATTCTTTTGTTATGTGACCACTCGTTAAGGAATAAAAAAAAAAAAAAAAAAAGTCCAAAACGGGAACATTATGTACACAAACAAATGGTAATCCGTTTAGTAAAAACTTAGAGTAGCACTTCCGAGATTATCCTCTCTTTCCATTTGCTCTTTTTTTCTTTGTTCCTGATTGCTACACCTTTTATCACCTGAGCCAATGCCCTATTTGGAGGTGGCGCTTCGCCCTTTTATACTCTCCAAAGAAGAGGGGATCCATGTGAATAGCCGCATCACCAAATCCCCCTCACCACCACCATGGGGGACGTCAAGGAAGGACAAGTGGAGGCCACATGGAAACTACGCAATGCACAAGGTTAGCTGTGTAGAGGTCGCAGTACTCTTCCTCGATTCTCCGGCTCTGTTTTCCTGGGGTCAATAAAGATTTGGTCCCCTCCCCCACAAGTGGACCATCATCTACGTCGCAGTTGCTTAGACGGAGTTGTACACACGACGAAAGGGGAAAAGAAACCGAGTGATAGATCTGACTAACTGGCTAGCCTACTGGCTGTATCACCGGAGGGATAACCCCTCAGAGGTCGCTGCGCCCTCATCCGCCTTTGCCACTTCACCGCTTCCCCCGCAGAACCCCCAATGCTACAGACCCTGTACGGGTCGATCATCGCGTCGACTCTCAGCAGAGTTCTGCTTTATCCACTTGACACGCTCAAGATAAATAAGCAAGTGGACACGAGCAACAGCCAAGTGGGGCGTCCTGCCAGCCTCGCCAGCCACACAGCCACCTCCCCCGTGAACAAAGGTCGCACCTCCTTTTTCCTCTCTGCGTTTATCCATAAGTTTGGATACAGGGGACTCTACAGCGGTTTTCTGTAAGCGGGCGGAGAGAGTGGGCAACGTGATCGACAGTGGCATGGGCCAGGTCAGCCACCCTGCCAGTGGCCCTTCCAAAGAGTATATATGTTTACCTGTGCGCATGGTGTGGATGCGCCACCGAGTCTGTCTGTCCTTTCATAAGAACAAATGTCGACTATGAGCGAAGCGGCAAAAGATGCGCCGCTGATCCGTAAGCCGACTAAGCCGCTATCCTAGAGAACCGTCATCCTACTGAGCTGCCCCCCCCTTCGCAGATTCTCCGCCATGACGACCATCCCGGCGACGAGCCTCTACTTCTGCTGCTTCGAGTACCTGAAGTCGATCAAAATAAACTGGAACCAAAGATTGCGGGACGGCAAAAAGGAGCCCGGACAGGCGACCAACTCTCTGTCCTTTGTGAATTACTTCACCATAGGTATGCCTCCTTCGGCTGTCTTCACTGGAAGGGAGAAAAAGAAAGGGACCTTCGGGAAGTGTCTTCCTCTCTGCGGTGATGGTCATCACAGTTATTCCACTGCCAATTCCGCTGCCACTTCCGATGCCACTTCCTCTGCCAATGATATTTCATTTTTTTGCCCCGCCACAGGTACACCTTCCTTGCACAATGGTCACGTTAAAGAGATACTCCTGCGCAGATGATGCGGCCCACGCCCAATGTACCCATCGACTATGCAGCGTTTGCTTTGTACCGCTTCCTTCGCATCGTTCGATTTGCACCGTCTACCACTACCCCCCTGTTGCCACCCGACATGCAGCTTTCCTGGCCGAGGCCATGTCCTGCGTCTTGTTCGTCCCCATTGATGTAATTAAGGAGAGGCTTCAGGTGAGTAGGCCAAACAGTGCAGTATAACCATCTTCCATACGCTTTTTTCACACCCTACCATGTTTGTCCCTTAACGGGGATCCCACATTTTTTACCCTTCTCTTTTTCCCACCCTCATTGAAGGCGCAACGGTATTTGCAACTGAAGGAGTACAGGACGTCTTACCACCTCGTGAAGGATTTAATTCGCAAGGAAGGCCTCTTCAGGGTAATATTTACCCCCCTCGGAGAGTGGATAATTGAATGGGATTTCCTCCCTCCGTGGAAGCAACTAACGCATGTGCTGCTTCTGTTTTTCCCCCGCACAGCTGTACAGAGGCTATGTCTCCACCTGCTTAACCTACGGCGTATTTGGAGGCTCTTTCTTCTTTCTCCAAAATGTAAAGAGGGAGATTGCCCCCTTTCGCCATGTCCAAAGGGATGCAAAAAAGGAAGAAACCGAAATGAGCTATAGAGGCGGGGAGAACATCTTATCTGTTTCTGACTCCCCCTTTTGCTGTCTGTTCCCCACCCTGTACACATAACACAAGTGTTTTCACCCTCTCCATGTCATTTCACGATTCCTTCCTTCCCGAAACCATGTGATGCACCAGATGGGAAAGGACCTCATGAGAAGACTAGAGATCGAACCGTCCAATTTGAACAGCCTCAAATTGAACCTCGTTTGTTCGATGTTGTCTGGGATTATAACTTCCCCCCTTGAAGTAGTCAGGATAAGGTGTTAACTTTTTTTTTTTTTTTTTTTTGGGGGGCCCTTGGGGAGCAGCTTCACTTGGATGATTATTCTTTTTTGTCGCAGACGACACAGTTTGCCTCCTCATTTGTGTTGCCTTACACAGATGGGTTAGTGTCCCGTTCGTGCAACTAATGTGTATGTCTATTTTTCCTCTTTTCTCTCATCCCAACGGTACAGATATCAACTGCAGGAGAAGAACAGGACCCCTTTTTTTTACAGCAGCTCCGTTGATGTAAGAAGAGGAAAAATGAGAGGGGGGAGAAGAAGCTCCGTGAAGATAACAAGCGGGGATGTACCTTCACACACGCCCCTTCCTAAGAACATGCGACAGTTGTAGACGCATATTTATCTTACCACGTCACGTCTCACCCCCTAATAGGGAATTAAGAAGCTGTGGAGCGAGGGCAGCGGGAAGATTTTGAACCTCTTCAAAGGAAACCTCTACCGCTGCTCCCTCGTCTGCCTCAGCATGACCATGAATGTCACGATTATAGACCTATACAGGCAGTTCGCGTGACGAAAGGAGCTGCACAATAAGACGCAGGTCTACATCGCAGCGAAGAAAGGTAACGTAGTGGCACGCTGTATGATGGGAGGGTGATGCTTCCCATGAGCGGGGCATATTCTCCGCGCACTTAGAGCTGTCCGCATGTTTGCTTTGCTCTCCTTCCTCTTCTTTTTCTTTTTCCCTTTAAATATATGGCACGTCGGACAACCCCTCGGGGCGAACGCAACCTTGATTTGTTACCCCCCCCGTATGTTCCTTTTATCGTGCCGTCTATCCTTCCTCGCATGAACTATTCATTCGTCCCATAGACGTTGGCAAAATGGGAAACTAAGGTAAACTAAAATTAGCTAAATTGAATCTTCTCGTTCTTTCGTTTTTACGTTCTCTTATTTTTACGTTTTTTCCTTTTTTCGTTTAAAAAAAGAGCTTTTTTCAAAAGGGGCAAACGGGCATGCACACAACTTTAGGCAAAGATATGTACGGAAGTGCTCGGGCTACGAAAAAGGGTACAGTCACTGGATCCACTGGAGCCAGTAGCTAAGTGCCAGTACGCATCGGTGTGGTCATCTGCCCACCAATTCATGCAGACGTGTGTAACGCAGTAATCCTGGCAAATGACGGGCAGCTCAAAACGCGACGCCGCTTCTCCAGTTTGCACAATCTACCATATGTGGAGAAACAAGCACTGGGAGTGGATGAGACGTACTCACCCCATTTGATGACGCCTTCCTTGAGCCTCCTTACAACTTCCACTTGTGTGGTACGTACAATAACGTCGTGTGCGCGTCATGCATATAATTTTGG